TTTGGTGTGAATCATAATCTTGTCAACTATGCTTCAGTGATCCTTTTTCGAATGGACAATGTTACATATTAGGTGTATTTATTAGTGGCATAAAGAATGAATTCATCTTCTCATCCTCTCCTACATCTCTTTGTTAGGAGTCGAATTTAGGTCTTCAAAATACTAGACAAATGATACCAATGAGACACATGCCCTGCTGTCTTATATTTTTATTCCAGTACTAGAAAGTGAGTTATATTTACTGTGCTTTTGCTAAGTTTGCCATGACAATTTGTTTCATTTAGAATGGTACAAAACATATCAGATATATAAAAGTCTGTGGTAAATTTTTTTTAAAAAATTAAACTTGGTTAAATTAAATATACTTGGAATATAATTCTCATGCAAATGGTGCTAATTATTAATTTGAATTTCTTTGGGATATTGTCCCTTGGGAATTTTATTTGTGGCAGTTTTAATAAAAATTATTTAAGATTTCCTGTTGAAGATGGCAATTATACTGTGCATATTTAGCACTTTGTGCTTTTGAATTCTTATTAAAATATCTGAAGGCATATAACAATCTGAGCACATTCTTCATAAGTATTAGAGAGTAGGGAGGGAGGACTGCCAACAACTTAAATTTTCTAAAAATACATAAAAAGAATGCCATGACATATGAGGGTGCCATTATCTGTATTATCTGCCATTATCTTCCTATCTATTCTTAATGAAGTCAAAGAAAATAAATGTTACAAGGAGGTAACTCTGGGATAAGGAAATGTAAAAGGAGCTTTTAAAAGTGTTTTAAAGGCAGGGTTTTCTATTGTAGCACAGGCTGGCCTAGTTGTCTCTGTATTCCAGGTCAGTCTTGAACTCATGTTATTTCTCCTGCTTCATGCTTAGATTACAGGCATGAGTTGTCATGTCTTGTTGTTGGGATAACCTACCCCACACACATAACTGCATCAACCGGCTGTGTATTTTTAAATGTTAATCACTGTGCTGGCAGGACAGGTAAATATGTCACTTTTTCATCTGCCTATAAAAAAGATTCTCTGAGATTATCATGCTAAAAAGCAAGCTGCCATAAGAGTCTCCACGCTCCATCCACTGTTTGGCTGTGGGTCTCAGGCATCTGTCTGAGTCAGCTGCTGGATGGAGCCTTTCAGAGAACAGCCATGCTAGACTCCTGTCTATAAGTGTAAAGGTGCCATAGCACAATAGTGTCAGGGATTAGTGCTTGCCTATGGGATGGGACTCAAGTTGGCCCTGTTATCAGTTGGTCATTCCTGAAGTCTCTGCTCCATCCCCTGTCCCTGAATTTCTTGCAGACAGGATAAATTTGGGGTCAAAATTCTGTGGGTGGGTTGTGTCCCTGTCGCTCCACTGGTGTTCTTATATGACTACAGGAGGTGGCCTCTTCAGGTTCTATATCCCTAATGCTGTGAGTCTCAGCTAAGATCACCTCCATTGATTCTTGTGAGTTTCCCTCATCCCAAGTCTCTGGCATGTCTTAGAGATGGCCTCAGTGGGAGAGGATGTGCTTAGCCCTACAGAGACTTGAAGTGCCAGGTGGGGCAATATTTAAGGGGGGGTAAACACTATCAGAGAAGAAGGGAGGAGGTGGGGGAAGGAAGTGTAGGAGAGGAGGACCAGGACTGAGGCAGCAATTGGAATGTAAATTAATTTAAAAACTAAAAACAAACAAAAACTGGTTGTTTTCCAGAGGAGTCAGTTTTAAACCCAGCATCCACATGGTAGCTTACAATTCCCTGTAACTCCTACTCCAAGGGATCTAACCCTCTCGTATAGACATGTATGCAGGCAGAACATGAATGTACATAAAAATGAAACTAAATAAATAAATTTTTAAAAGAATATTTAAAAAGCTAGCTGCAAGGGGGGAGGTCATGGAGGTCACATTGCCACCAAACTCACATTGCCTCCTTCAATTGCTGAACACACTGGCAGAACTGGCCTTCCACACACAGATGGAAAGACAGACAGACAGACAGACAGACAGACAGACAGACAAATTGATTATAAGTAGAAGATAGATCGTTAGATAGATAGATAGATAGATAATTGAATATCTACTATCTTAGAGTTTTATTGCTGTAAAGAGACACCATAATCATGGCAACTCTTATAAGGAAAACATTTAATTGGGGCTGTACAACAGTTTCAAAGGCTTAGTCTATTATTGTCAGGCTGGCAGCATGGCAGCATGCAGGATGCTGGATAAGGAGCTGAGAGTTCTATATCCTGATCTACAAGCAGAAGGAGACTGCCCTATTGGGCATGGCTTGAGTGTATATGAGACATCAAAGCCCATATCCTCATAACACCCTTCTTCCCACAAGGAAATACCCACTCCAAGAAGGTCATACTTCCTAATAGTGCCACTCCCTATGGACCTATAGGGCCCAGTTATATTTGAACATCTAGCCACATTGATTCATATATTCATAGATGATAGATAGGTACCTAGACATAGGAATGAACAGCTATAAAGATAGATGATAGATAGTTGCATACAAATGTACATTCATTCATATATACATACATACATACATAGAAGATAAATAGACAGATGTAATAATCTAAACAGTAAAGACATAGTGTCTTTCACTTCACACATGCACTCCAAGCATAGTTTACTATCCCCAATTAAGACGTAAAGATTGGACATTCAAACTGCAATGTCTTCTACAAACACACCTACAAAATACAGTGTTCACTTGATGTGCATAGATTTTATCAATAACTAGGCTTTCCTTTATTTCTGGCTATTTTCAGGGATTACACCCTGAAAACTCTTCTTCACACATTGTCATTGCTTCAGTTATTACTGTGAACTAATTAATACTTAAAAACCACTAGACAGCAATGCTACAGAAGGTATTTGTGCTGCTGAAGATATTTAGTTATACACCCTCAGCTCCAACATACACCATTTAAAGACACATATGTAAGAAATGATCTTCCACATGATGTGAAATGAAACTATCATCTGGTAGAAAACAACACAGCACAGAAAAGTGTTTTGCATATAAAATATATATTCATGTGAATATTGATTAAAACTATTACATTTGTAAATTAGAATTACATATTGGTATATCTTTGAAATGATAGGGAAAAAGATATGCATACAGTATGATTTCCAAATAGTGCAGAAAATGTGAAACATTTAAGTAGTTGGTTGTTGGTTTTAACGCCAATAGATGACTACCATAACAAAGTATCTAGATGTTCTTTTCTAAAATTAAAGGAATAGAACATGAAGAAGAGAACAACAATGAAAAGTAACCATGTCATCTGTGGCATCTTCAAAAGGATGTGCAGCAATCAACACTGTTCCACGAGCATGGGTAGGTGGGTCCCTATTAATTTGACAGCCCTTCAGGTTCAACCATCTATGTCTGAGCACTAAGGTTGGGACCACTCCATTGGTGATGAATGTCCTGAAGATGACAACTTCTATTTCATCATCTCCTTGCTGCTCTATAGACATCAAACCTGAGGGGAGGAAAGTTATATTGATGAGCAGGAGAATGCTCAAAGCCTCTTTGTTCACATTGGGTAAATGTGATGTCTCTTTGAAAAAAGTGAGAGACTTGCTTGGCCAGAAAGTAAATCTGGAGGCCGTTTGGATAAAGAAATTAGTATAGAATCCCCACATGATAAGAAAAGATGGACTGAAGTTCTCACCAGAGGTGTAGTTTGAAGATCCCACTAACGAGAAAGAGTATGTGTAAGACACCTATGGACAATGTAGTCATTATTGAATGTCTCAAATTCAGACCCTGAATGCCCCCAACACTAGTCAGAGATATATGACTAGGGATCAGTGGGTCAGAGGTGAGTCTTGCAGAAGGGCATGAGGAAGAAATGAGACCCCAAAAGCAATGGAGAAAATCCCAAACTCCCAGGATCAAAGGGGGAAATATTTGAAGGCTTCCTGGAGAGAGAGTAGGAATTTGAAATTCCTTTATAGAGGTAAACTAACATGTTTCCTTGAGTAGAGTTGGAAGTTTTCATACTCTTTCCTTGACATGAGATCAGTGTGCTAGCCCACCTCATTCAGTGGAACATATTCCAGCTACTGCATGATCAGCTTCTAGCTCCTCATCAGAGACCAGAGCATCTGTCAACTGTAGTGAAAGTGGTGCTGGGACAGGGAAAAATCTGAGTGAGTATTCATCACAAATCTGGATTATAGGCATATGGTGGTCCTCCTTCTTAAGCATATTTTCAGCTGCTAGGTCTAGGTATGAAATGTGGGGAACACATCATTTTGGTTTCTGCCTTGAGGCAGTGAGCTTCTGTTCTGGAATGCACTTGCTATGCTTGGGCTCTGGTACTTTAAGCCTGGGTGGTCTGGAGTTCTTTTCAGGTGACTTGAAATATGTCAGATCACTTGGGCAAAATGAGATCTGAGGACCCTTGGTAAATCAGAGGCAGTAGATTGGAATCACCTTTGGTCACAATTGAAGGATATGCCCAGTTAAATAGAGATATTAAGTCTACTTCCATAGGACATACTTAGAAGATCTGAGAACCCTTCGGATATTGGTGGACTATATTTCTCTATTATAACAGGAAGGTCTGAGATCATCTGCACAGAAGATGAATAGTTGGAGTGTAATTAGGGAGAGGAAATAGTCTAAAAGCCAATTCAGTAAAAGAGGATACTCAGAGTGCTTTAGGTAGGTGGAGGCATATCCAAACTCTGTGTGAAAAAAGAGGAATTGCTTTTTTGCCCCTCTGGGCACATGTGATAGATCTAAGATGCTCTAAAGTAGAAGGGTGAGATTGGAGTTCCCCAGGATTGTGTGGAGGCGGCTCAGGCTCTCTTACTCTTATGTCTGGAGCCCTATTGAGCAGAAGTTGCAGGTTGATTGATACCTTGAGAATTATAAGCGTTTCTAGGCACTTACTCCATTATTAGCTCCAAACTTGAAATCACAATCTAGAATACACATCTTCTGAATTTCTATGCTAGGCATGGCAGCAGTCTTAAAGTCTTCGAAGAAGTGACAGTACAGTAGTCTCAGGTTTAGTGTCTTCCTCAAATATATGTCCACCCACACATTCCTCTGCTTGTAGAACAGGATGTCTCTGTCTAAGGGACCAAAATGAAGACAGTACTATAACTTACACTTGACTTGATATTCTTCTGTTTGAGACTTCAGATCTGAGTTCTGAGATCTCTTAGATCAGAAGAGTGTTTCCCAGGCCACTGGAATTAGAAGTTATAGGTAGGTGTTCCCCTGTGAAGATGGTGAATCTGTGGGATTTTCTTGATCCCACAGGTCATGTCTGGAGCACTCTTAGCTGTGAAAGTCTAAATCTCTCTATGTAAGATTGAGGAAGACGTAAGAAACTTTGGACAGAAGATGGACTGTTATGCCCTTCCTCAAAGAGGTAATATTGCAGACTTCATGGGAATAAGGGTGTTGAAGCACACAGATCATAAGCAGAATTTCTAAGAAATTTTGTGTAAAGGTGAAGGTCTATACCTATTTGTGAGAGGGGTAAAATCTCCATCTATTTTCAATAAGAGAGATCATTTCCCATTGGACAAAATATAAATACCTTGTGGAGCAGAGAAAGAGCCAGTGCTACTTGATCGGCTTCCAATTTTTTCATTATGTGGACTGTCCATATTCTGTGTGAAGTGTGTTGACTTTTGTGTGGAACATCAAACAGCAATTCTTGCATTATTACAATAGGAGGCTCGATGGGTATCTTTACTCTATGAAACTTTTGGTCAGATAAGTCCAAAGCTGCTTTCTTCAGAGAAAGAATGTCTAGAATATATGGAGCAAGATGAAGGTTGGCAGTAATCAGAGAGGGTTAGGAATACAGCAGGTATACAAACTCAGTAGAACAAGGTCTATTGACACCTTTCAAGAGAGGGTGGGCATGAGTCCCCCTTAGGCAAAAGGATTTCAAGCAAATGTAGGTATTAAAAGTAAGTGTTGTTGTCCCCGAGACAGAAGGGAAAGAGGAAATATTTATGAGCAGGCATGGAGTGTCTGAGGCTCTTCCTATAGGCAGAGGGAAAGGCATCAAAGCCCCAATATGAAAGGATGACATTTACATACCTCTTGGACAGAGAGTGTGGATTTGAGGACTACTGAAACAAAAGGAGTTATTCTGATGTCCCTTTCAGATGAGGTGTTGGATGTGAGACACAGTTAAGTGGAATTTTTGTGTCCTCCTTCATCAGAAAGAGAATGGTTTGAACTCTTTCTGGATCAGAAAGTGTAATTATTGAGGACATTTTTGACTTGAAGTGGAGTTTGGGTCCTTGGCCAGATAGAGATGATCTCAGGCCCTGTCAGTCTTATGAGATACATATTGGAATCTATTATATACAGAGGGTGCATTGGATACATAATGGACAGAAGTTGGTGGTCTAAAGCAATGATGTATAGGAGTAGAAGATTAAAGCATACTTAGAGTCTGCTTAAAGTCCCAAACCTCTTTAAGGATAAGCAAGTGTCCTAGCCTACCTTGAGCAGGGAAGGTAGGACTGCTTCACGGTTTAGAAGATTCCTATCCTCAGTTACATCACGGTAGGCCCGGCAGCAATGCAAGCGCCATTCATCGGTCATGACTGTCAGTCTCTAAGTCCTGAAGCTTTTCTTCAGCTACATGGGTAAGTGTATGAAGGATAGTATAAAAAACAGAAGACCTAAGTTTCAGGCTCTGTTAACACAGAGCATAATTAAATGAAGCCCCTTTGGTCACACAGGTATTTTCTTAGTGGCCATGGTTAGATGGAAATAATCTAAATTTCATCATTAGAGGGTTGTGTTTGAGGCCCATATATAGGTGGGGGATGCTTTGAGGACTCTTTGATCTTGGTTCCCTTGACCTAAATGACAATTCTGAGATCCCAGTAGTGAATTCTACTCATTCTTATAACTGACCTTGGACAGAAGGGGAAGGTTTAGGATAATATTTGAAAGAGCAGAAAGGCCTGAAGGCCACCTATCCCAAGTTAAGTGATAATGTCTCTTCATTCAAAGGGGATGGTATGAGATGCCTGGAGAATAAATGCAGTTTGAGTACCCTGTATTCATAAATGCAACACCTGGGGTCATCGTGAACTGCTTTGCTTAGAAAGAAAGTGCCTGCTCATCTTTAACCAAATAGCAAGATCCAATCACCTCACTGTGCAGAAGGGAAAAATCTAGCTTACCTTGGGTATGGTACTGCATCATTGCATCCAAGTACTCTTCCAAGCTTCCATTATCCATGTATTGTACATACTGTTGGGAAGAGTACAATAAGCAATCAGTAGGCTCTTCTATCAGGATGAAAGGTTGTCTGAACTCTAATGCTCCCTCGAGGATGTATTGGTGTGTGTACATCCCTAAATAAGAGACAGGAACATTGGATTTCTGACAACCACCTCTAGGAAGATTGCATATTTGTTAGTTTTTGCTTTCTATTTTATGCTCTCTGTCCTACCCTCAGAAAATTGTGAGGTCCCACTGTGAAGTTGCAATTGTGTTTGCCTGGCAATCGTGGTCTCAGAGATTGGCAGTAACATAAGATGAGTTTAAAGTCAAGTGTAAGGTGCCCTTGGAATGAAGCAATGCTCTAGGGCATCCCATAGCTAGAGGCTACACCTGAAGCTCCTAGGACTACAGATGGAATGGATGAGACCCACTTGGCTATAGGAGCAAAAAATCCTGTGGTCTCTTCCATCATTGTTTCAGGAGACATATACCCTTGGCCAGGAACTGGATGTCTATAGTCCTTGTGGTTGAAGAAGGAAATCATAACCTCCTTTTGCACTACACTGAACTGCAAGTGAATGGATTTGATTCTGGCTTCTACAGAGAGAATGGCATAAGGCTTACTTGACCTGAGGCCTCTTTACCAGAAGAGAAATGACTTAGCCTCACTTTCAAAGAAACATAAAGTTTCAGAGTGTTTCCTCTAAATGAGTACTTTAGACCAGCTTGGACAAATGGGGAAGGACTGCATTAGGCTTCCTTGTAGGAGGGAGGTCTGACATTCTCTTCAGTAGAGTAAAAGGACTGAGGTTACTTGGAAAGAGAGAAAGTACTAAGCCCTTTATGAGAAAGAGAAAACTTTGAGACCTGGTTGTACAAAGGTATGGGTTAGAACACCCTAGTAGAGGGGGTAAGGACCATGCAGCATCCTGTTAGACATGAATATCCCTGTTACTTATTCAGTAAAGGAAGGTCCCAGCAGTGCTCTTCAACTTCTAACTCTTCTTTAGTTGGTAGATGTTCCACATCTTGTGTTTGGTCTGGGGGAGTTCAGGCAACAAGACAAGTGTTTTTCAAACAGCCTGGATGCCTGTCCCTGGCTAGGTTGCCTCCTTCAGTTTGTCTTCATTTGTCCATGTATAGTTAGCAACAATCTGATTGAACTGTAGAGCATAACATAGGATCCAGTCAATAATTCTCCACATAGGACCTGGAACCTCAAACCAGAGTGGAACCATATATTTCCCTAGCCACCATGGTAAAAGGTGAAATGTTTGAATCTCTCTTATTATAGTATATACATTGGAGGTAGTTCAAAGATGTAAGAGAATGCTTGAGAATATAAGGCACAATATACTATTATTCACAAGAGCATATCTAGTGTCACCTTTGGAAAAAAGGAATGTGGGAGCCTCCTTTGGTCAAAGACAGTGGTTCACATTCCCCCTTGCAGAGGTGGACAAGATCCAAGGCCACATTGTTGGTGAAGGGAAGGGCAGAGACCGAGTTCTCTCAGGCACTTCAAAAAACAAGGTGTGTGAAGTAACCCGGCAACAGAGGAGTTCTGAGAACCTCTTCTCAGAAACCTCTGAGAAGTCTCCCTTCTGCTGAGAAACCTCTTCTCAGTTCTAAGACTGCCTTCAACAAAGGAGAAATCCTGAATGTCTTGGTTCATAAGGTAGAGGTTCCCAGTCATATTTTGTAGAACAGAAATATCCAGTTCACCAATGGTCAGCAGGGGAAGGTTCTATGCTACACTGGGTACTGAACTAATATTCTGACTGCCTCACTAGCTTCCAAGTATTTTCCCCATATACATACCCTGTCTGAAATCTTTGAGAGTCCAGGCAATGATCACAACAGTCTTTCAACAAGATAAGTAGTTATGAAAGCACTGATGTTTCCTCAAGGCTGTGTTCAACTGCACACATCTGTGAATAATAATAGGAATCGTGCATTTGTTAATTTAAAATTTTTTTATTGTATATTTTATTTACCATACAAATGTCATCCCCTCTCCTCATTTTCCCTCCCTAAACTCACTATCCCATCCCCCTCCTCCTTTTTGCTTTTATATCGTTTTAATTTAAGGTCAGTTCTGCATTTTTCATGCCCAACTTTGAGGCACAGGGTATGAAAGTTGATATCATCTATCTATCTTATATCCTATGATCTAAGAGCAGAGAAATGTGAGGTACCATTGGTTGCAAATGTGTTGTTACTTGGACAGAGCAATTAGCTTTTAAGAAAATTTAGTTAACGGGGTGTTTGTGAGACATGGGCAGAAGAGAAGTTCTGGTGGTTCTTTAGTTGCACGGGTGAACCTGAATTCCCCTAGTGTAGGGGATGGAGGTCTGAAACACCCCCTTTGACACAGGGGCCAATTTTGAGAGCACTTTCAATAGACTTTGATTTCCTAGGGTCTGTTTTGCAAAAATTGAAGTTTGGTGGGTGGAGGTAGACAATAGGGCCACAATCCTACTGAGAAGACAGACAGGGAATGTTAGATGCTCTTTTATGTAGAATGAGTGGTTTAAGGCTCCCTCGACCTGACAGCCCTTTAAGGAGAAAAGACTCAATGCAACTTGGTAGTCATAGGAATATGTAAGGACCACATAAGGCATAATGCATGATTACTGGCCCACTTGGCAAATGGGGTCTAGGGTAATGTTAGTCCTAGGAGAGTTCTGCCATTCTATTCAATGTAGTGAGGAGGAGTAAGTTAACACTAACTCTGTGGCCCTGTTGAAAAAGGAGGACAGAATCTCCTTCAGGCAGAACAATGGTGCCATATACACTTCTGTCAAAGGTAAAGGTACCTTATACAGTGGAGAAAGTTTCCAGCAGTGATCATAAGTTTTCAGTTCTTATTCAGAGTTTTGTGTCTTTGTAGTTTGTGTTGATTCTTGGAGAGAGCAGGCAGCAACTTATTTCGTTTACCCAAGGTTTGGATGACTGTTGCTGGCTGTGTTCCTTCTAATTTGTTCAGCTGTCCAGATCTAGGCAGAAATGCTGAGTTATTACATTTCTATGGACTTGCCTGAAGTCAGATGGCACAGGTTCTATGCTCTGATTCTAAACTTGGGGTATAGGATCTCAAACCAGAGTGGATTAGGTCCATTGTTTACCTAAATAGTCACTTTTGGAACTATGCCTGAACAGTTAGGTAGAAAACCTACTTTGACCATATGTGGGAAAGTCATGGGCTCCATTTCTGAGAGAGAGAATACACTGGGAGGATAGGCAAGAGCAGGAAGGACACATAATCACTCAGGCAAAAGGTTACCTTGGGAATTGAAAGAAGGTGCAGAAAATACCTTATCAGGTGCAAATGTCCTCACAGTCCAGAATATCCATGTGCTCCGGGACTCTGAGGTGTGCTTCCCAGCAATCAGAGAATTTTTTTTCTCACAAATTGGTTGGTAATCTCTGGCTCTAGGTTCTCAATGAGCTGTTCAGCAGCAGCACGGGCATGGGCAACAAAGATGAGCATGCTCCATTTCAAGGGGCAATCTTAAAGATAGAAATTAGATCAGGGCTCAGATTTTTACTGTCAGGTCCAAGGACATCATTTTATGTCCCCAGATATTCATTGAGAGTGGTCTGCCATCCCTTCAGTCATCTGGGGATGACTTGTCACCCAGGTCAGAAGGGAAACCTTAAGACTTCCTAGAGAAATGGAACTGAGAATTCTATGACTAGAAGTGGATTCTCTGAGGAAACCATTGTCAGGGGATGTTTGCTCAAGATATTATGGGAATTTTTATACTCTGATCATCTCTCCTGTCACAAGGATATTAGGATCTCCTTTCTTCACTGGGGTACTCATTCCTTCTACCTTTTATTAAGGAGGCATCATATTTTCCCACTGAAGCAAAGAGAGCCTGAGATAATTCCAGGTTGTCCAAAGGAAGCTTAAACATTCATTTAGGCCGAGGAATCCCATACAACTTCCTGAACATCTCTCTGAGTTTTCATATCAGTGGCTTCTCTATAAGCTCCGTAATGAGAAGAAATTGTATTAAGTCCCTTTCAAATTTAAGGGTGTCTAGATTTCCCTTATTATAAGAAGTTAGAACGTATGCTTCTTCCTTGACAGAGTATGCATATTAAAGATTCTTCACTGCAGTTCAGTCCACAATATAAGGAAGTTGTAGACTATTGTTTCCCAGATTTCTCCTTCAGCTCGAGGGAAACTGTAGGTTCAGTAATGATGCAATGAAGAATCTTTGACATGCATACTCTGTCAAGGAAAAAGCATATGTTCTATCTTCTTTGAATAAGGGAAATCTAGACACCCTTAAATTTGAAAGGGATTTAACACAAATACTTCTGACTAAGGAGCTTACAGAGAAGTCACTGACATGAAAACTCACACAGATGTTCAGGATGTTGTATGGGATTCCTCAACCTAAATGAATGTTTAAGCCTCCTTTGGACAAACTGGAATGATCTGAGGCTCCCTTTGCTTCAGTGGGGAAATATGATGCCTCCTTAATCAAAGGGAGAAGGAGTGAGTACCCCAGTGAAGAAAGGAGGTGCTAGATATCCTAGTGATGGGAGAGATGATCAAGTACAAAAATTTCCATAATACTTTGAGCAAAAATTAAATTGCTTACCTTAGCTCATGAGGTCCTAGCATTGCCTCACCTTCTAACTGTTCTTCACAGTCTAGGGTATCCATATCTTTAGCTGAAGCAGCAGGAGACAAAATATAGTTACCATGATTCATGATCACCATGGGTATGTGTCCTCAGCATGATTGCCTCCTAAGAATTATGTTCAACCAACTCGAACTAAGCTAGTGAAGATTTCACAACATGTCATGTGACTTTACTCAAGTGGCATAAGGCTCCAGTATTTGCTTCCTCCTCTTGATTTCTGTGAACTTTGACCAAAGGGAGCAATGCTCCTTCATCAGAAGTGAAATATCCCACAGGCCCCTGAGCAGAAAGGATTGTTATGAGAGTCTATTGGGTCAAAGGAGTACCTTTTAAGACCTCAATCATCCAAGGAAGAAAAATTCCAAACTTTTAGAAAGGAGAAAGGCCCTCAACCCTGTTGGACGGTAGGGGAGTATCCCTGTTTACCTTCTGTAGAGGAGGTTGGTCCAGGCACTCCAGGCCTCCATATCTTCAGAGAACTCTAGAAAATTCTTATCTCTGAGGACTCCACTGCAGACTTGACAGTGATCTGAGGTTTCTTCTGACTACTTGAGTCAAAGTCCCTGAATCTGTTCCCTATTTAAACTTAAAATAAGCTCCATAGGTGTGGGTGTGGAGGACAGTTACCTTTCTGGTTAGCAGATAAAAGATAGATGTCCTTGGATCCAGGCTAAGGTTTTGATTCAGTGGCTATGGGACTTGAATCCCAGGTTCTCTGAGGCTTTTTGGTGGTCAAAGGTGTATTTCCTAACCAATAAAATTTGAGGAAGAATCTCTGGTCTCTCTTAGTTGAATGATACACCTGAGTCAGCCATGAACAAAGAGAGAAGCTCCTGTGCATTCTTGGTCACTAGGATTTAGTATAAGCACACTACAGCCGAGCCCAAATATTTGAGACACACTTTTCAGTCACAAAGTCAGTTCTATAGCTTGCTTCATCAGAGGGGCATGTCTCAGACACCTCCAGTACAGGCAGAGGAAGAATAAAATGTTTTTATTCAAGGTCAGCTGACTCCTTAGGCATACCCATAAAGTTAGTGGCTACTATGGTTAGAGAAACTAAGGCTAAGGCCCTCTTCAGAAGATATTCCAACTGGGTATCAGCCCCCTTTGACATCATGGGTGAGTTTACTCCTGAGGGGGCATGACTTGATGGAGTTATTAGGTGAAGGCATAAATTGTCCTGGTTCTAGAAGGGTCCATCTGAGGCCCTATTGTGACTTCATCAATTCTATTGCACACTGATAGTAAAAGGGCTGTATTTGTGATCTTCTTGTCAAGGTCTGAAGTCCTTTGCTTATTATGTCATAGGTCTTAGGATCTCTTCAGCCATTGAGGACCTATGTGACACCTGAGTTCTGAAGTGGTAACTCTGAGTTCAATTTGAGCAATTAACGAATGTGTGAGGTTTCAGGTTCTCAAAGGAATTGTATGTTAATGCTTCCTTGAACACTGCGGAGTTTGTGACACATTTGATGTTGAGGGGGTACATCTGAAACCCCCCTGAGTTACTGGTGAAAGTTGTGAAGCACATTGGTCCTAGACAGTTAAGATTAAGGTTGTTTAGGCTATTGGGGAAGATCTGAGTATCTCTGGTTCAGAATGGACAGGTCAGAAGCCCCCTTGATCCATACAGAAATTTGGAAGGTCGGTAGTTCTTAAGCTGTAGGTCTGAAGCTTACTTGAGAAGGACTGGAGTGCATTCGGCTTCCTGGTTAAGACAGAGTATGCCTGAGGACCCCTTGAGCCCTTGAGAGTGATTTGAGCTCTACTTCAGAGATTGGGGAAAGTGTGAGTCTTCCTGGTTCTGTGTCAGAAACACAATTTGGAGGACCCATGGACAGAATGAGAATGTTGATAACCCAAACTATTAAGGATACCAACCTTTAGAGGCAAAAGTATCATACCATGTTGGGGAAAGCAGAAATTTCAAAGACTCTTGTATCAGGGGAAGATCAAGAGTCAAGTTGGAGAGTAGAGAAGACCTGGGTATTTCCTTATCCAGTATTCATGAGAACCTAGAACATCAATGTCATGCAGGCCAGGAAGCAGTGTAATCCGTCTCCAACAAGCTAAGAGGCAGTTCCTAGCTAGGTCTCCTGATAAACCAGCTGCCTACTTTTGAACATGGCATGGCTTTCTTGTTTCTGCTTACCAACTTCAATATATATATCTCCCATGGATATCCTGGATTTATGACTTTGCAGGCTACTCTTAGGCATTAGGACCTCAGGTATCCGGGTCCTGTTCTTTGGACAGAGGTCATGAAGTCAGAGGATCAGAGTAAGATGCACTCAGTGCAATTTAGATAGAGGGAGTTGATTTTTCACCGATTAGGTCAGATTAAGCAGGCCTAGATCCACACTGGTCAGAAGAAGCACATGTACTCTCCATGAGGAGCAAATTGTCTAGCATGCCATTTTGACTACAAATTGTGAGCTATTCTTAATCAGAAGGGGAATACTTACCATGCTTTTAGTCAGAGGAGCCTACCTGATGCTTCAATGTGTATCTGAGGCAGCTAGGAGTTTGATAGATGGTTGATGAGAAGAAAATGTTTGAAACTCCTATTGTTTATATGGGGCACAGAGTGGGAAAACATGAGGGTGGCTTTTAAATTAAAAACAAAAAAAGAATTGAAAATGCCATGGTAAAGGAAAGTAGGGCCAAGGCCACCCTCTTGACATGGGCTTTCTTAGAGCTTCCATTTGGCAGGCTGGGAAGCTCTGGTGCCTCGATGGGAAGAAGGAGTAAGTCGGAGGCTTCCTAGGGCAGAACTTGAAGATCTGACCCA